AAATTTGCATAATTTTGACGGGACAATGGTAAAATTTAGAGTCATAAGTCTAGTACGTAGCACAACTTGAGTGGAAGGTTTTATTCTGCAATTTAGCTGTAATCTCTTGTAACAACAACACAGACACTTGTATAAATAAAAAAAAACAACAACATTGTGTCATTGACGTTTGTAGTGTTTCCCTTTCTGTAAAGTTAAAAAAACATCCTATAATAAGTAGTCCAGAAAGTGCAATAGAAAAGAAAAAAGAACAAAAAAGAAAAAGAAAAGAAAGAGGAGGTTTTTAAGGGTGTTTATTTTGGTAGATATGTTAATTTTAAGTTGAATTGGATGTGGCACAAGAGTGGTGTAGGATTTTGGGTAGATAGTGGTGATGCAAGTAGGATTTTGGGAAGATAGTGGTGATGCAAGTTGATGTTACTGGAATGTTGACTTGGGTCAATGAATGACCTTTTTTTTTTTTTTTTTTTTTAAGCAAATATGTACATACCCTATTACCTCCACCGAGGTTCAAACTCCCAACCTCTCATTTGGAAAGGAATGAGTGATAATGCTGTGCCATTTGGGTCAATGGATGATTGGTAATGTGGTAGTTGTGCACTTGTTTGGCTTATTGGATGATTAAAATCATGTCTCAATATTCACCCTATTTTATTGCGTATCTTCATTCAATATATATCTTACTGCTTATGCATTAAAAATTTGTCTTAGAAAGAGGGGGAAATATATATATATATATATATATATATATATATAGACACACGGGTTGGTTTGGGCTTGTTTCAAATTACTTGAATGTGGTATGAATTACGAAAAATTAACAAATGTAGTAGTGGGAGAGAGGAGAGGCAGCACCGTAATTTAGTAATACTTTCTCGATTTTTAAAATAGGAGTGAGGATTGAAGTTTAAATAGGAAGAAAGTGAGTGTGCATGTGGGGTTTTTTTTTTTTTTTTTTTTTTTAACATAAATAAATAAATAAAAATTAACTGAGTGATCAATGAGTGAGATAGTGGAAAGGTGGGTCCTATATGTTGCATCACTCTAGAGGACCAGAGAGTCCAAAAAATGGCCAAGTGAATATAATGGTCGTTATAACTTCCAAGTTACAAACTTAGAACTGACTGTACACTGTATCAATTCTATTCCCTTTTCTCGCTGCAACTTGTGGAGCTGCATATGTCAACATCTTTTTGAACCACCATTTGTTCACAGTAATTCTTTACCATTTGGCTGCGAAGAAAATAATGTTGAAAACTGAGTAATAAAATGTTGAAGTAAACGAAAGGGAATATATATATATATATATATATATATAAAATTGGTCCAATTCAATAATTTTAAAAACAGTTTTCTCCTTTCCTAAATTCATGTCATTTTGTTACGTACAATTTTTCAAATGGCTGTTTTGTTGAAAGGATTCTCGAATTATTTTCAATTTGTGAAAATTTTAAAAATAATGATGTTATAGGCCATAATTTAAAAGTGATAATATTAAAAAAGAATGGGCATATAAAGTCATTGAACATGATGTAATTACAAATATAAAACAATTTTGTATGCAACAAATACCTACATAGACAAAAATTACCCACTCAAATCGAGTGTGAGGCCTTTGAAAAAAGAGCTAGCTTAGATACAGAGCTAAATGCGTATTATTGAAATTTATGGTCCCACATTGAAATTTATGAAAGCAATTTAGGACTTAATTTATATTGACTCTTGGGTTCGCCATGAAGAAGTGCGGTCCATGGTAGAAATTATAGTCAATTTTTTTATTTTATTTATTTATTTGGTATAGGGAGATTAGACTTTTGAGTTTTGATTTTTTTTTTTTTTTTAGCCAATTTCAGTTTTGATGACAGTATGTTATTCTTATTAAATAGTTGGATTAATTTGTTCCATATTGGAATTACTTATAATGAACCATAATTGCATAGTGATTACACGGGAAATTATCACATGGTCCTAAGATTATTAATTCCTATCAATTACTAAATAATATTTAGAAGTTACAAAAACAAAATAAAAATTTGAAAGAATATGATATATTCAGAATTTTCATATATTTAAAAGAATATGATAATAATTTTATTGAAAATTTAAGATTTGTTATTTAATGTTTCTTGTTTGAAATAAAAGAGTTGCATTCTTCTTTGTATATAATTTGTGTGTAGCATTATTCCCTGGCATTATTCTTACACTTGAAACATTCAAACCTACCATGCCAGACCTTTTAACTGTGTATGAAATTTGTATGGCCCCATTTCGTACAATCAAACTGAGAATTTGTATAAAAAAAAGAGAGTATTAGATGATCAGCCATTAAATGACGTCCATTTTTTTAACTAGCTCCGGTTGACTCATAATGGAGCCAATTTAATTAGTGTATACGAGAGGTCCAAAACGCGCTTTTTTTTTCCTCAAATAATCTCCTATTAAGCTGTGCTCGTGAATGTGACGTGTGTTAAGTAAAAATAACATAAATTTAAAAAATTTCTAAATTAAGAATATGAATGATAATTCCAGACGACACTTGAATAGGAATGAGAATCATATCCCAATATCCCATTTTTTTGGTCTCTTATATAAATTAATAATCCTTTGCTTACCTCCATTATCCATATTTCAAACAATTTTCATAGCCCTTTAGGGCCTTATTTTTTGTTTGTATCACACCATCACGTGTTAAAAAAAAAAAAAAAAAAAAAAAAAAAAATCTTACGAGACCATTTTATAAAATATATAAAAATAAATAATTTAATAAAATGACACTATTGAAGGATGCCGACAATGAACAAGTAAAGATAAAAATATAAAATTAAAAAAAAAAAGTAAAAATAAAAATAAAAAACAAAAATAAAGGGTAAATTAAAGAAAATAAAAATTGTCCAAACCAGTGTACACTGATATTGAGATTTTTTTTTTTTTAATCCCAAAAAATTCAAATCTTTGTTCTACAAATTTTCAAAGTTTTTTTTTTAAAAATAATAATATAAGGTAATGTGCACATAACACTACTATACTATGAGATTAATAGCATATATATCCCTTGGGCATTTTAAGAAGAGTAAAAGAACAAAACGGGTATTACAATACTAATTTATGCCAGAGAGGGTATTTTTGTACAGTGTGAAAAGATTAAATGTATTTTTTGCACACTTTTTCAAATAGGGATAAATGTTCCCCATATTTAACATGTTGTGAGATGGCAAAGTTTGCCAATACTTTTATGTTATATATATATATATATATATAATAACATCATTGCTTGTATTTCTCAACCATGAACTTATGAACTTTGCATTAGGGCCAACCAATACATAAGTGCTTACCCCGAAATAATTGAATAAGAAATAATATATGAAAGATGAATGGTTGCTGTTGTCCACAACAGAATTGCCATCTAAAACGATTGTCTAGATTCCAAGACAAGGTACCATCCACACTACACAATATCACACACTCACCGATATATATACATATAGAAATATGCTGAGTGACATAATATGCATGTATTGTCATGGAGAAAAACTTGAGCCACTATGTTGTGCTTTTCTTAAATCGTTTCTTATCTCATCTAAAATCACAATACAGTCATCAGATCAAATGATATTAAGAAAGAAAAGCCACACCATGCATTTCACACCCAAGCATGATCCAATCCCTTAAATTGTCGCCATGCTATGTGTAACACAATCAAGAAACATTTTCATAAAATAATGCTATCTCATCAACATAAGAAAGTGCAAGTAACACATTAATTACAGACAAGAATGCAACACGTGAATCTTGGCCAACATGATGAATTATATCCCCCATTTTTCGGCACATTGAAACCCTAAGTGCCTGAAAAGAGATTTGAATAGACTATTTCACTATTTCTCCTCTCCCATCAAGCTGCCTCTAATAAACATCAATTGTACGAGAGGACAAAACAGTAGCATTAGACCATTACTCTAACTGGTATAATGACTTCTCCCTTAGATAGATGGGAGACGAGGGGTTCAAGTTCCATAGTAGACAATTGTGAGTATGTTGTATCAGTATGCGTAAGAACTATGATGAAATAGTAAATTAAAAGAAGTGGATGAAAGAAAAGAGATAAAGAGTACATTCATGTAAACCTGTGTGATAAGTAAAAAACAGCTTAGTTTTTTTGAAATATATAAATGATGAACTTGAAAACACTCCCTAAGGATATAATTCCTCGTGAAAAAGGAATATTAATTAATATATAAAATTTTCATATGAAAACATGATAAGTACGTACTCTTAGGAATTGATGACTTAGGCATGGCAATTGCTATGCAAATTAAAAACATGATGCAATCTATAAAAATTAAATTTATATATTAATTTGACGTGAATCACAATTATGACCTCAAATTAGGTCATGTTGAATGATAATATCCATGTGGAGATTGCCTAGAACAAACATGTAAATGCATGAACTCTAAAGTTAAGTGGCAATATATAGCACAATTTGGAACTAAGAAGTTAAGCAAATGGCGTGACATAGGTGGCAATGTATATAAAGTCAATGTAAATAGTAGTATATCAAGAGTTGCTTTCATATGATCACGAGAATGTGTCAATAAAACAGTTGAGCTTTCCCTTTTCAACAGCCAAAGAAATGTGTTTGTGTTCTGTACTACCTTCCCTCTGCCACCTCCGAGCAACACTAACTATTGACTACTCTCTCTCTATACACACACACACACACACACACACACACACACATACTATATAATATGTGAATAATAATCAAGGCTTGAAACTTTCGAGAGGTCATTTCGTGTTTTGCATGTTTTTCTTCTTTTTGACTTGGTCCTTGTTCAAGAATTAAGTGGAGAAACTGCGCTTGAAATAGAGTAAAATCTGAAAATCAACAATTATTTAACTATAATAGAGGAGTAATGATCCACAGTTAGACCATGATACAACTCCAAGTATTTTGATGTGAATGGGGCTGAAGTTGGCGTCACCACAATGACTAATAACTTTGACTGTATTAACGTGAGTGGAGGCTACTACTCTTATTCACGTCGAATAACTCACAATGAATAAGTCTGAATGTTTCGAAATGAGGGAGGCTTGAACAACTCATAACAACGAATAACGGGCCGAGATCTGCTCTACTCACATCAAACCATGCGAAGCACATACTGGGAAACTCTAAATGAATTTTGAAAAGAAAAAAAAATAAAAAAATAAAATTAACAATTGGGTAATTAGGGAAAAAGAAGGTTAACAATTGGGTCTCATGTAATTTTATATATATGTTTAGAGTGACCTCTAGTTTCTTCTAATACTCTTTCATATTATAATAAGCATGAGCATGGGAAGATGATGTATTCTACATCCCAGTCTACACACAAAGACCTCCTTTTAAAGTGACCCCACAACTAGTTCTTTGTGGAATATAGATACAAGTTTCCCCGATCTCTTTTCAAGTAGCTTTTAAGGGATTTCCGTGTTTCTTTAAGAACATTATTCTCTTCAGCAAAATACTACTAATCTAAAAAAGTCCAGATAAGAAAAAAAAAAAAATTAAAGTTAAATAAACTTGCAAGGAAAGTTAAGTGTTTAGGTTGGTGCAGACAAAGGGATTTCTTGACTTTTGCCCATCCTTCTTTAAAGTCCTAGCCATATGACAATATCTGTTCTGGAGACCTCCACTATATGTACTTTGTTCTGTTCACTCGCTCACACATTTTCAATAAATATATAACCACACACACACACACACATATATATATTATAATTTATAATGTAAAACAAAACTCTAGAACAGTTAGAACCACATCTGACATAAAAATAAAAATCAAATTCCACCTGAAATGCATGTCACATACTGCAGAGCAAAAAAACTTGGAATTCATTCAAAAAGTTGAACAACTAAATCAATTCAAAAACCAAAATTCCTTAATTGAATAAAGAACCATATGTATGTGCAGCTTCTTTACATGATTATCATGATCCTACTAGAAAAAGAAAAAAAAAAAAAAAAAAAAAAACCTTTTTGGTTTTTTCCTCCACAGCAAGCTTGGACCATCGTGGTTTCCATGAAGAAAATAAACACAAAATGACAAGACTAAAAAGTCCCTAATAGAGAAAACAAGAAAGAACCAAGATGCTTCCTCTCTCTAAGCAACTGTCTTCCCCACCCTGAAAGCAATGGTAGGAACAATTCTGAACTAAACTCATTCACGAGCCAAAATTTGAGATACATACTGACCTCTCAGTTCCAAGAAGCTGCAAAAGACTGGAAGAAATTCAAGCAAATGAGTTGTAAGAGGAAGATGGATAACAATAACCAGCTCCATGATCATGATCAGACTCAACACCCCCTTCAAACTCCTCCATTTCAGGAAGCTCATTGAGATCAAACTCGAGCACTTTCCGCCCCGTCTGACTAGATTCCCCGGGAGACGTCACCTGAGCTGGAGCTGGAGCAGGAGCCTCCACCGGAGCCGTCCAGTGACACCTCTTGTGACCCCCAAGAGCTTGGCCTGTAGGGAAAGTCTTGTTGCAAATCTTGCATTGGTGCAGTGTGCTCTCCAGCACCAGCATTGAGCTGGCCGCCCCTTCGTCGAACTGGGCATTCGGATTGACATCCTCACCAGCTGAAGATAGTGACTCTTGAATGGTGGTATTCTTGAATTTGTTGTGGCTTGACCTATGTCCACCTAAAGCTTGGTGAGTTGGGAAGCACTTGTTACAAGTGCTGCATTTGTACTTATCAGCTGCTGGTGTTGTCATCACAGTCTTCTGATGATGATCCAATGGAGTGGTATCTTGAGCCGATGATTCCAAATCTCTCAGATTCATCTTCTTCCTCCTCTTCTTGTTCTTAACCACCACTGCAGGATCACATTTATAATCTATGTTCTGTGCACTGAGAAAGCTACCTTCTGTGCCTTGGCTGTCAGATTCATAATCTGTGAAGTTCTTATAATCATACTCATCTGCTTGGTGGTGCCAATCTGTATTAGATAATCTATAATTCATGCTCTCCTGAACTGGAAACACTGCTTTTCCTTTGGATTTATCCACTGTTTTCGGCATCAAACAGCTGGTCTTCACATCATAATCCCTGGTGTATCCAGCTGGTTTCGTCTCCATTATTCTTCGTTTCTTAGATTCAGAAACCCAATTCTTCTCACCAGAATTACTATTCGTAGCCTCAAATTCCTCAACAACGTGTTTGTGTGTGAGTCCGGACTCCAAAGAATTCCCATGAGCTAGCATCATGAGATCTTCCACAGCATCACGCATCTCCTCCTCTTCAGACGAACTTGAAACAGCTGAGGCGGCGGTGAGGGCTTTCCGGCCTCGCCTGGCGGTCACTGACCACCGTGGTAAGGACTGTTTCAGATCAGTAACAGTATCAGCAATCTGATCATCATCGTCATCATAATCATCATCGAGTTTCTGAGGCAAAGAATCCGACACGGAGGAGGACGGACTGGTTTTTGGATCCGCCGCCGCCGCCGCCGACGTACGAGGCTGAATTCCCCTATAAGGCCTCTCGGGATGGCACCTCATGTGCCCAAACAATGACTTCATTGACGGGAACTTCTTGTCACAAATCGAACAAGTGGGTACGCTGCTACTGTTGCTCATCATCACAGAACACGAAGACCCATTGATAGTGTTGTTGTCGTCGATCACATAATCACGGTGTTTTTCTTCTTCTTGTTTAACCTTCTTGGCGGGGGGTTGTTTGTGTTGATTGGTTTTGAGCTCTTTCTTGGCCTGAACGTGAATTCTCATGTGACCACCCAAAGCTTTACCGGAGCTAAACCCTTTGTTACACACATCACACACTCGAGTGATGATCTTAACCTTCTCCTGAGGAGGAGGAGGAGAGCTTTCAAACATCTGTCCCTCTTCTTCTTCTTTCACCTGTGGAATCTTCAGTTTTATCAGAAGCTTCCCTTCACCAATTTCTGTTGTTTCTTGATGCCCACCGCCTGGTAGATCATCATCCATCATATACAATATGTATATATGTATAGCTACGTGAGAACAAAAAAGAGTACTGAGACAGCCCACTGATTTGGATTGGAGACTGTTGAGAGAGAATAAGATGAGTTAAGAGAGAGATCAAGAAAAGAGTGAAGAGAAGTGACCCAATAAAAAGAGATTTGTTTAGATCAAGCAGAGGCGGTTGCTTAGCTGAAGAGAAAAGAAACCCAGCAAGAAAAGGATATGTACCCAACAGTTCGAAAAATCAGATCCTCAATATATTTTACTATATATATATATATATATATATATATATATATATATTATATAAGTATAGTGATTGGATCAAGAAAAGGAAACCAATAGAAGACGACCCAGATGAGTTGAGAGGGAGAACCCAAGAGATAATGAGGAGAAAGAGCAAAGGAAGCTCAAGGATCCTTAACTGCAATGAGGAAATTGACAGTCACGTTCTTGGTCTCATTGCCTCTTCTTCCGGTTTTAATTAGATCTCGTGTCCCTTTCTCTCTCTAAAACACTTTCTCTCTCTCTCTGACTCCACTCCCCCCGTAACATATTATTATTATTATACGATATATTCTAGTCTAGTCCAACTTTGAATGGAATTCAATGACCATAAAAACCATAGGATGTGTGACACTATAATATCACACTATTTTGTTTAATTTTCCTTAAATGTTAGGTTAAGCCAAGAACCTAGCTTTCTTGGATAGCTCTTAGTTGCCTAAAATCTCTTAGTATTATTAAGATCTTTGATTTATTTTCCTAAAATAAATTGATTTTGTATATCAATTGGAATTTTTTTAAAAAGGATTACACATCGAAAAGAGACCTTGAACGATGGAAACAAACTCTTCAATAATCTTCAACTTTTAAATTAGTGCTTATCCCTTAATAACTGTTATTATTATCTCTCTCTTATCTTAATTGCTTTGAAATCAATTTCATAAAAATATGGATTTTTTTTTTTTTTTTTTTTTTTTTTGGTGTATATATAAAATTAGTGCTACCCAACTAATGAACAGTCTGTACTGAAATTCCTAGAGAGAGGTTGACAGGCTTATGTAACTTGCATATTAATTTTTTTCTTTAATACAAAGAATTAATAACCTCAATTTAATTGTCAATTACCATTACTAGTTCCACGCGGTTTTGAACTCTGTTGCTCAAATCATTCCCAGTTATACCCTTGAATCTTTGTTTGACCCGGTCAATCCATTCAAAATGTTACAAGGTCCACTGTATGAATGATGCACATCATTCCTCTACCGTCCATCTCATGGAGAGGGTGATCAAAATCTTTACCCTGATTGTGTTGCTTGTGAATTGTGTGACAAAGGAAAATTGCCTTTAAGCCATTGGATTGAATTGAGAGACCTCTTTTTGTATACTAATATAAGCACTTTCGAATTGTGATACAAAATTCAAAATTTTAAAAATAAAATAAAATAGTTGTATGTGTTAGGATTACTATTTATCACTTTTTTATTTTATTATTTATTATTTATATTTTTTTTGATAACTTGCTTGGACCCACAAGATGTTGTTTATTTTGTATCCTTTGGGGTATTTGGGTACCCCTCGATTGAACACACACATAATACAACAATTAAGCATGGGTTTGATTTGACCCCACAAGTTTGTTATTTATCTACTTATGAACGTATGATAGGTTTCAACATCTAACTCTACAAGGAACACCCCAAAATAGTGAAATGCTGACCCATTGATTTTTATTTTTTATTATTTGTTATTTATTTAATTATTAATTAATTAATTTCAATCTGAACCCATTGAAAAAGACTGTCAAGAAACAAAAATTTATAAAGCCTTACCTCACTTTGGAGTTTGGACTTGAGTGGAAAGTTCAATGACTAGAGTGGGGTTCACTATTGCGTAGCTTGTAAAGTGAAGGTTAAACTTGATCCCCAAGTTCTATCTATACATATATATCTATCTATACATATATACAAGCTCTCTTATGTTACCAATTTAGACTCCATGATTTAATAATTATAATATCACATACATAATTTAAGGTGCAAATCTTCATAAGTATTAAAAGTGATATGGTGACATGATGGCAAGAGACAAAACCTTAATTGTAGTTTTCTTTTTTTCTTTTTTCTTTTTCAAATTTAAAACATTAGTTGTTGCACCTCCTCGTCAAAATTAAAAAAGGCTGTTCAAAATTTTAAGTGAAATAAATGTCTTATTTTGTGAAAATGGGTATACTCCTTTGTATTTTGTACCGTTCAAGCCTTGAAGCTGTGCTTAATATGCAACTTATTAATCAAAGAAATCAAAACATTTTGTGAATCATATTCTATTTCATTGATCTTTTTGCCTCTAGACGTTGTATCACATAAAATAAATTAAATACGAGTTGTAAATATTTGAGAATTCAAAGTGGTAAGGGAGTAAGTCGATTTTTTGTAAAATAAAAAAATTTAATAAATAAATAAATATTCTCTCCGTCCCGAAAACCAAAAAAATAATTTTTTAAGAGAATGACTTTAGTACTTTTTTAAGGAGAGCACTCTACTTTTTTACACTTACAACCCCACTTATTATTATTATTTTTTTAAGAGGAAATAACAAGAAAGACCTCTAAACTCATAAATGCATTATTTTTATTTTGTAATACTATAACTATCCCTTATATCATAAAATTTAACTTCTCTTCATTTTTTTTATTTTATTTTTACCTTCTTTATTTTCTTTAGTATATATATTACTACTATTTTTGTCTTGTCTACATAGATAACTTGGATAACTTTTTTTTTGGTTCTTTTCTTTTTTTGGGTTTTTATTTTTATTTTTATTTTTGAGTCCTACGGTCCTACCTACCGTTATTAAAGATAAAATATATATTTAATATTCTGTAATATTATACTGAGTATACCTTAGCAATTAAATATTAAACTGAGTAATAAAACATATTAAATGCATATAAGTTATAACTAGTACCGTACTTCTCCTAGGGTTGAAATTTGGACAGACTTTTACCAGTTATTTTTTTACCACCCATATACTATTGTTAAATTGGGAACCACTCGTATTCTGTTGTTAAATTGGGAACCAAATTTTGTTTCTTTAAAGGTTGACAGTATTAGCTTCCCTTCCAAGGCATACAATCTGCGTACGAAGGCCACGTAATTTCATTTAATAAAGAGTATGTGATATTCACACCGAACACTTGTATTAAATTGTCTAATTGAATAATTTTTAATTGACTATTTATATCAAATACAACTAAGTGGATAGTTCTATTTATTTATTTGTTGCATAATTGACCAATTAAAAATAATAATTCTAGCAATTCACTGTAACTATTCGATACAATAATCATTTCCCTTTAATAAATAATAGTTTAACTTGTGCTTTTGCATTCACATGTAAATTGCTTTAATATGTTTTAGGATATTTTTTGGTCCCCTTTTTTTATAGAGATATATTTTTTTTTTGTTAGGCCTGGTAAGAAGTGATGAAAAATATTAAAAATTGAAAAGAGAGAGTGGGACTAACCATATTTAGAAAAGTAATTGTGTAATTTGAAATATATATATATATATATATATATATATATATATATATCATTTTAAGGTTGAAAATGTCATTTCATTTTAAATTGGAGCAAATGGCTAAAAATTAAGTGCAAATATAGCTTCTCTTTTTTTTCTTTTTCTTTCTTCTTATTATATTTGTGGTGAATGAATTATCAAATCCATCCATAATAAGTCCACAAGGATGTCATCAATTATTTTTGAGTAAATTGCATTGACACCCCTACGATTTTGGTCAATGTCACTCAGATATGGGTCAATGATTTTTTTAACAATGACATTCTCAGTGGTATCAAATGTCACATTTGTCCCTAATTAAAATAATTCAATTAATTTACAAAATATCAAATCTAATAATTGACGAAACTACCCTCATCGTTAAGCTTGTTTCTCTACTTTAATCTTTAACTCTTTTTTTCTTTTCTTTTTTGGTTCATTTTAGTACCTAATCGCGGATAGTCCCTCTCTCTCTCTCTTCCCAATCTTTCACATTCCCCTCTTCTTACCATGTTAATTTTTATTTTTATTTTGGTAAATTGCACCCCATGTCATTCTTTTTGCCGGTGGAAGAGCTATCGATGGGCGATGGAGGGAAACGTAATTGGTGGTGGAGGAGATGGTGGTTAGGGCAAGTTAATTTGCAAAATTTGGAGGGAAAATATTGCGGTGTGGTGGTTGTGATGGTGTTGGATTTGTGATTGAGATGAGTAAAGGAAGGAAAGTGGGTGTGAGATGAGAGAAGATAATTGGTGGGAATGGCTGTTTTTCTTTTTTTTTATTATTATTATTTTTGTTCTACTGTGGTGTTGTGTGGTGTTTGGGTTGGACATAGCTGTTTTTTTTTTTTCCTTCTGTTATGGTGGGTCTGAACTAGCCATGGCTGTTTTTAATTTTTTTTTTTCCTACTCTAATGGTGGTAGTTGTGGTGTTGTTTTGGGTATGGTTATGGTGGTTTATGGTGATGTCTAGGTTATTAGGGTGTTTCAAATTTTTTATTTTTATTTTTTCTATTATGGTGGTGCTAGTGGTTCTAGTAGTGTCTGTGTGTGGTGGTGGTTCTGGCAAGTATGGGTTGGCCATGATTGTTTTCAATTTTTTTTTTACTATGGTGTTTGGGTGTAGTTGTACATGTGGTGGTTATGGTGGTGTACAGTTTTCTGGCTATTTAAAATATATATAGATTTATTTTTAATTTTTTTATTTTTATGTTGTGGTGGTCGTTATAGTGGTTTGAATATTGTTATATATAAACTATATCTATATCTATAGAATAGACGAAGATGTTAGTTAGGTCCATTAAATTTAGTTAAGAGGTTAAATTTGTAATTTTATGATTTAAATGAAATTGTTAACAAGTCAAAGGGTTAAAAGATAATTTCATATTGTTTTAGAGGTCAGGAGGGAGTGACACATTTTTTAAACCTTGTCATTGTAAAAAAACCATTGACCGTCTGCTGAGTGGTGTTGACCAAAACCTCAGGGGATCTCAGTGCATTTTACCATTTTTTTTTTTTTTTTTTATAAATTTAAGGTTATATTGATAATGTTAAAAATAAATAAATAAATAAGTATTTTCAATATTTATTTTGGGATAGCCAATTTTTTTTTATTATTTTAAATAACCATATATATATATATATGAGATAGTGGTGTGTGGCAACCTTGATAGAAATGAGATAG